CTTACTTGGCGCAGTCATGTTGAGGAAGTTAGCCGTAAAGTTTGTACTACTTTGAGAAAATTGTACAGATATAAAAATATCTTACCGCCTTGTACGAAGAAACTTCTAATTCAAGCGCTAATTCTTCCTATGTTTGACTATGCTGATGTGTGTTACTTAGATGCAGACAAATACTTGGTCAATAAATTGGATCGGCTTCTCAACAACTGTATCCGTTTCATTTACGGTCTTCGAAAGTATGACCACGTCTCTTTCTATCGCTCTCAACTTAAATGGTTAAATATCCCACAACGCAGGAGCCTTAGAATTCTTAGCACTCTGTTCACTATTCTTAACGATCCATTGGCCCCAGAGTATTTGAAATGTAAGTTTCAATACCTGGGTTCTTCCCATGATTGCAATCTTCGCTCTCGTAACAATCTCGTGCTCCATACTCCCTCTCACCGTACTGGTTTCCTCTCAAACTCTTTCTCCGAAGACTCTGGAATGCGCTTCCCCTAGCAATAAGAAAATCCCCCAACAAGTGGATTTTTAAAACAAAGGTAAAGGAACATTATTTGGGTTCATCTGACACATAAATATATAAATAATCTATGGCATTTAATCTATTATATCTATTGTATACGTTTGTATATACGTGTGTATATGTGTGTGTATGTATGTATATGTATATATGTATGTGTATGGGTATGTATGTATATATAATTAAGTTTGAGCTATGAGTATATGTGTGTGTGATGTGTGTGTGTGTGTGGGGGGGGAAATTCATCAATTTTAGGTTTCATCTTAGCCCACTGCAGTACACACTTCTCCCACTAACTTTTCGGTTGGCTGGTAGAAAATGCCATATGGCATTAAGTCCGCCGTTTGTACCTTTAGTACAATAAAGTGTAAAAAAAAATATTTTGTCAGACGCTCAGTACGGTTTCCGCCCGGGGCGCAGTACAGTTTCAGCACTAACGGAATTTGCCGATTACATAAACGAGTCTTTGGACGCTGATAAACAAATTATAACACTTTTTATGGATTACAAAAAGGCGTTTGACACCCTGGATCATGACATTCTGCTACAGACGATGGATGAATGTGGAATACGAGGCCCTACGAATAAATGGTTTCGGACTACCTGAGTAATAGGAAAATGCGTACGATGATAGCTGGTGTGACTGGTGAGGATATGCATGTGGATCTGGGGGTGCCGACTGGATCAGTATTTGGTCCATTAGGATATGTGATGCATGTGAATAGTGTGTCAAATGTCGTAAACAAGTGCCGCGTTTTTATGTATGCCGATGATATGTGTATTTTTTATGCTTCCAAGGATATGTCTGAGATACAAAGCTATGTACAAGAAGATTTTGAAAGTATAACTAAGTGGGCACACGATAATGGAATTATATTGAATATGTCGAAAACCAAGTGCGTGCATATACACTCACCATACAATCGACAAGTTAAAATCATTAATAAAGAACAGATACATATAATTGGCCACTCATATGAATGCCTAAATGCTAATAAAATCGACTGCAGGTGTGAATTAGATTATGCCAATATATTTAAATATTTAGGCTTAACTATTGATCAAAAATTTAGCTGGAAAACGCATGTTAATGACATATGTAATAAATTAAGATCCATGGTATGTAAGTTTTATCAATTAAATGCAGTTGTAGACAAGCACACGTTACGAATTGTGTATTATGCGCTTGCTGACTCACTGATTAGCTATGGACTCATTGTATATGGTCGGACGTTTTGCACCTATTTAAAAAATATTAAAAATTTACAAATATGGCTGATTAAGTACCTAGTGACCAAAAAAGTTAATATAAGATAATTGTGGACAGGACTATAATAACTTATTTCCAATTTGTAAAATACTGCCTGTAGACAAAAAAATCGAATACTTAATAGGCATACGTCACTACTATAGTAACGATTATAAAAGATATGTTAATAATAAATATGATACAAGAAGTGTAAAATGTTAAATGCTTGTTAAACCGAGAATGAATAATTATTATGGGGAAAGATTATCAAAATTTCTAATACCTAAGATATTTAATAAATTTGAACTTTTGAGAGGGAGTCCGCAACTCAGTAAAAATGTGTTGAAATCAAAACTTAAACAGTTGTTTCTTGATGAATTATCTTTGGAGTAGTAGTTTATTTGTAACAGAAGTATATCATTGTTTTAATTAGTGCCTGTGTTGGTTATAATTATAGTGTAAAGAAATACTTAATAAATGTGTATAATCAATATTATAAGTAAATTAGTAGTATACTTAGAAGATATTATGTTGAAAATCGAGCGTGTCTCGCCATCAAACGTAAAAGTTTGGCGAGAATAGCTACGTAAGCCTATTCTTTGTATATTTTTTTGTGATTAATAAATAAATAAAAAAAAGATAAATTATTCCACTTGCTGTACGCATTATGAAAAGCGAAGCAAACCGTTTAGTTCAAAATCTTGGTATATCTATGGAGTGCCTCGCCGAGTGTCTGGTAGTCCATTATTGGAAAGGGTTTCTTTACAAAGAAAGTCTCAATATCAATTCATCTTAATTAAAATCAATTGGAAAAATTAAGGCATGCTTTTACTGCGCACACTCTCTGTAATGCTTCTTATAGAATATCCAGAAACTGGCTGACAGTACTGACTCTGCGCTTATGGTTGAGGTGACAAGATTGGTTGTAACTTAATCAAGGTCACCAATAAGCCTTTTAGCACGTTTCTTCATTGATCCTAAATTTACTCGTGGCTGCTTCAGTCCTGGAGTCAATGTACCGCCCAAAGCTAAGATTCTGAGAAATCTTAACCCCTACTAACCGATGGCGTTAGTGTACACCAAAGATAAACCCCAAAAAGTAAGAGGCCAGGGCAAGTGGGCTCCTTTTAGCGGTGAAGTAACACATTTGTGTTTTAGAAGTATTGAATCCTCAAACTAAGTACACATAACAATTTTCTATATTTACTAAAACTAGTTTTACGGATTTTATCGTGTTTAATTTAAACTATTTTAAATCTCAATGTTTCGGGCACTTCCCAGCACCCATGGTCACGGCGAAGACTGAGGTGTTTGACGTACCGATGTCATAGTTAACGAAAGCTACCTTGAACTTTTAACTAGTAATTATTGGTCCGATCTACGCAGAACGAGCTTACAGTATTTTGAAGTCTTCTGTGCTTGGGTTTGAATTTAATTTTTATTAAATATTTAATTTTATCATTCTCTTTCAGAAAGCAAAAGGTATGTGTGACAGAAAAGACCTGGGTGTCGAGCTGAAAAATGTCAAGCAAGTTTTGCAAGACAACAAGCTTCGGGTCTTGCGACTCCGTCACAGTGACCGAGAGAAACGGGCCACAGTCAAGCATTTGCCTGCTATACTACCATATGTCAGAGGAGTCAGAGACAAGTTTAGCTACATCTTGAAGTGGGCTTCCATAAGAACATACTACACGCCACCTAAGAATATTAGTCAGCTCTTAAAATGCGTCAAGTGTTATATCCCTCTACAAGAAACATTCCCAAGAAGCTTGTACAGAAGTGTACAAGCTTGATTGTGAATGTAGGCTCTCTTACATATGGAAAACAAAACCCGCACGAAATAGCTTATCAATGATATGAAGAATAGACGCCCCGGGAAGTCTGCAGTATGTTAAAATGTTTAGGATCGTCCCACCCATTATATTAAATTTGATAGACCACAAAACATCGCAAAGGAACACCGATTCCTACCGAAGATGATTTGCGAGGCTATTGAAATTAAAAAAACAACATCCTAGTTTCAATAGAGTAGATAGCTGGGTGTTACTATCTGCTTGGGATAGCATAATTAATAGAATTAAATCCAAACCTAAGCATACTACTACGAGACTTCAAGATACTATAAGCTCGTTTTGCTGAGATCGGACCAAAACTAATAATTAAAAGTTGAAGGTAGCCTTCATTAATTATAGCATAGGGACGTCAAATACCTCAGTCCCCTCCGTGACCACCCATGGTCACGTGACACGGTGGTTGCAACGTCGAAAATCAAAGAAGTTAAAATTAAACGCAATAAAATCCACTATTTGAACGCAGATAAGAAGCAATAATTTTCATATCATTTTTAATTTAAAGAATTTCCGCAAAGTAACGCCTGATAAGAGGTGAAAGCTAGTAAAGGATGCAGAAAGTCGATAGATGCAGATGGCTCAGAACCGTGCTTTGTGATGATGCCGTGATTTGCAGATGATGATGAAAGCCGAAAGAAAAATTTATTTATTCTTGATTCACCAAAATGTGTGTACATATACAAGAAAATGAAATTTAATGGCTTTGTAAGTAATAACTGTCACGAAACTGACAATTCATTAAAAATAATTTTGCTTCGTCATACATCGTATATTAATAACATTCCACGAATTAACCCAAAAGTTGGCCAAGTAATTGCGAAATTCTAAGTTATTTTGTAGTATAATGGATAATTTTCAAAGTTAAAGTACCGTAAACTTGGACAATAGTAATCTCATGCTTTAAGTAACAAAATATTTTAGTTAAAGAAATTACCTTTAAGTTCCCGAGATGAAAATGAAGTTCAATAAAATACTGATCACAGTCTTGGAACATTTTTGTAATTTTTATTTCTAGAAACGTTATTTAAATTAAATATATTTCACCTCTTAATCACACAAATGTCATATACGTCGATAATCAATCATATTTATTTGATTTTTTTATTAATTAGAATAAGGGTGACAAAATGTAGCTGCATCGCAGCACTAATGGGTTTACTCGACCAAGGAAGGGCCACACACAGAATGTCAATGTAAAATAGCTGCTTAAGGGTATGTTCCAAAATACAACCCAGTGTACTGTCCAATGCAAATGACGTCATGAATCAACGCTATACTGGTGATTCGTTCCAAAACATGACTGTATATGACGTCATACATTAGCGCCATATTGGAAAATTGTTGGCGATTATTTTGTCATTTTGTGCTCCAAAAATCATTATATCCTCCTAATGGAGCCAGCAATTATTCTATAATTTTTTGTATTTGATTGTGTATGAGATTGAGAAATGTTAGATGGATTACGAGATGGTGTGTACTGAGTTTGAGGAGACGGATCAGGCTGAGATTGAGGAATAATAGATGGATTACGAGATATTGTGTACTGAGTTTGAGGAGACTGATCAGGCGGAGATTGAGGGATGATAGATGGATTACGAGATGGTGTGTACTGAGTTTGAGGAGACGGATCAGGCGGAGATTTATCATATATAGGATAGGGTGATGGCGTATTTGGATACGGTGATGTCATGTTCGGATTGTATGATGAATGCGATGATGACGACTGACGAAATCTAGGTGGCATAACATTTTGTATTAGTGGTGAATATTTTGTTGCTGTGTTAAGTGCATTCAGGATTTCAATTTTGGCATAGTGTTTCTGGTCTATTAATAGATTTAACATCGAGATGAGCATTTCACAAAATGAAACATCTTCATCATATTTTTTCTCCTGCCTATTGCACTCATCATCGCTGTTGTTCAGATTTTTACTCTTTTTACGCATGCTCGCTTTCAGTCTTTTATTTTGTGTAACTTCTGAGTCAGTGTCTTCGCCGGATTGATTAGTAAGGTCTTCGGCATCATTTGTACTGTTTTCTGTATATGTAACATTATTTGTCGCATCTCTCAGAGATTTTTGAGTGCAAAAAATGAAAGTGCTCCCATGTGTACGTAAGTTCTTTTCTTTTTCTTTCTGACGTGACCTAACACCACCTTTTTATCAGCTGCTACCTCTTTGCAGTACGTATCCTTGAGATTTTTCCATTTTTTTTGCACATCAGCTACTGTCAATAAGTCAAACTGTTTTATTAAATAATTTACTGTCTTGTAGGTATGATTTATCTATTTACATTTTATATTATTGGTGTTACATATTTTTTTATGATTGTTGCAGGTACTTGGCTTCAGGAAATAGCTACTATTCACTCTATATTTCGAATATCTTATTGGCATCTCTACAATTGGCGAAATTATAGAAGAGACGTGCGAAAAATTATGGTCATGTTTACAACCTTTATATATGCTAGAACCAGATGAAACAACTTGGTGCCAAACTGCTGAACTTTTCTACAAAAGCCCATTTTCCACACTGCTTGGGAGCGGTGGATGGAAAGCATATAAGGTGCGAAAAGCCTAACTGCGCGGGTTCTGAATTTTATAATTATAAGCAATATCATTCCTTAGTTTTGATGGCGGTAGCTGATGCCAATTATTATTTCATCAGTGTTGACATAGGAGCTTACGGTAGCAGCAGTGACTCTACCGTTTTCAAAAATTCTGCATTTGGTAAGAAGCTTGAAGGTGGTCAGTTAATGCTTCCTTCACCAAGCCACCTGCCAAAAGACGAAAACGGGGAAAAAATGCCTTATGTCTTTGTTGGAGATGAAGCGTTCGCTCTCTCAGAACACAATGCGCCCATACCCAAGAAGAAACCTATCTATAACTCAAAGAGTTTTTAATTACAGACTCACATTAGCAAGAAGATTTGTAGAATGCACATTTGGCATACTTACAAGTAAATGGAAAATTTTACATCGAGCTTTAGATTTAAAACTAACAACTTATGACTAAATAATTAAAGCATGTTGCATTTTACATAATTACGTACGGAAACATGATGGAATTAGGTTTGAAGACAAACTGTATGGAACCAAGTTGCACAGTTTACGCCCTACTCCAGTGAGATCTAGAATATCCAGCATTGAAAATAGACAACATTTTGCAGAATATTTTGATTCATCGAAAGGGTCAATTTCGTGGCAGTATGATAAAATATAAATAATCATATACTTAACTGTAAGATTAGACCATAGGTGTGGGTTAATTAAAAAAGAACAAACCAGAAATAAAAAAAATAAACTGTATCTACTCTATGGTTCTAGACAATGACGGATCTGTTCTAAACGTGTTCTAAATAAATGTGCAAAGATAATTTTTGACAATACAGAAGATATCTGAAGATATCCTGGTTTTATTCGACATCCATCCCACATAAACTACACACAGACCAACAAGAAATACTTACCTACAATAATTATTGTCAACTTGTAAACTTATTATAATAGTAAACTATTTTACTTACCTTTTTGCTTTCTTTCACCAACACTATATTGTTCCCTATTATTTCAAATTTAAAATCCAAGCTGAATGTCTAGTATCTGGACGACGGTACACTGGGAGGTAAAGCAGATCACGTCCTCAATGATCTTACTCATATATTTCAAAATTTTAAAAATATTGGTCTTGAACCAAATACAAATAAATGTGAAATATTTATTTCTAATAATTTATCTAATTCTAACAGAAATACCTTAATTCAAAACTTCAATCAGATTTATCCAGGAATAAAAACTGTCAATTCGGAATCGCTTTACCTGCTTGGTGCTCCGTTGTTTTTCGATAGTATTAAACCTGTTTTAAAAACAAAATTTGATCAATTTTTAAATCACGTTGATAAATTATATATTTTGAACCCCCATATTGCCCTTACCATTTTAAAATATTGTCTCCTTGTACCTAAATTTACATATTTGTTACGCTCAAGTCCAGTCTGGAAATGTTCGAATATTTTAAAAGATATTGATAGTAATCTTAAAATTGCTTTAGAAAACATTCTAAATTTGAGATTAAATACAATAGCCTGGAATCAAGCCACTTTACCTATCAAATTTGGTGGAATTGGTGTAAGAAATATTTCTAGCGTCGCATTGCCTGCTTTCCTTGCTTCCGTGCATAGTGTCAATGACCTATGTAACACAATTTTAAATAATAAAGTAGACCTGTGCTTTGCTGCGGAGGCAAAGCAAACATGGCTAACACTCTGTCTCGGCGAAAATGTCCCACTGGAAGTTAACCAAGAAAAACAGTGGGATATTCCGTTGGTACGGAGTGTCCAGAAAAATTTATTTCAAAATTTCCATATTCAACAAGATCAGGCTCACCTTCTAGCTGTTTCGACTAAGGAATCTAGCCACTGGTTACATGCTCTACCATCAAGTAATCTCGGCACATTGCTTGATGGGGAAAGCTTCCGCATCGCCGTAGGAATCCGGCTAGGAGTGGCTATTTGTCAACCTCACCAGTGCCCCTGTGGTAGCAGCGTCGATGAGTTTGGGCTCCACGACCTTTCATGCAAGAAAAGTGCAGATAGGTTTTCCCGTCACGGTTCTTTGAACGAAATCATCCGAAGGGCTCTTGTCTCTATAAATATCCCCTCGGTTTTAGAGCCTTGCGGGATATTTAGAGACGATGGCAAGAGACCCGACGGTATGACTTTGGTCCCTTGGGAGAGAGGTAAAGCCCTAGTGTGGGATGCTACTAGCGTTGACACTTTGGCGGCCTCTCATCTCGGGGGTACCTCTTTAAGAGCCGGGGCGGCATCAGAGACAGCCGAATTTAGTAAATGGCGCAAATATGAGTCTTTGAGAAATGACTACATATTTGTGCCATTTGCTGTAGAGACTATCGGTCTATGGGGTCCACGTGCAATGAAGTTTCTAAAGGAACTGTATCCACGACTGGTCGTCGCTGCTGGTGTTAAGAGGGCTGGTTCTTTCCTCGCTCAAAGGCTAAGTAAGTATAGCTATTCAGTGAGGAAACGCAGCCAGCGTTCTTGGCACTATACCACGGGGAGCAGGTCTTTTTGACGATTTAAATTTTTAGTTTTAGATTTTCTATATTATAGTTTCTTCTTTTATATTGTATATAATTAGTTTTAATCGTAAATATTTATAATTTTTGTAATATAAATGTCTAATTATATATAAATTATTTTATTATAATTTAAAATTATATAAAGATACTATTATATAAGTTCCCAAGTAAAATATATCTGTTGATATATTTTCTCCCACAATCTCGCTTTCAATATTCTGGTAGCTCCTGCGCGCCTGCCGATCGGGCGGGAGATGAAGCGCGCAACATCTTGTCAGCAGCGTTGTCAGTGCACGACTGACGAGCGAAACCCGCGAATTTTATTTCGCAGTGCGGCCATAGTCATACTACTTCATACTGCACAAAACATTCGTGCGGAAATAAACCCGCACCGCATCGCGTAAAATTTACATCAAAACACAGATTTTTGGGGATTTTTTTTCGCGCGAATTTTATACCGCTAGTGCAGCTACTCCTATTGTATGTGTTACAGAATTGCGAAAAAAAATTCGCGCGGTGAATATTCGCTGTGCGGACGAGGCCTTAGACATTCGGGTTTCCAAGCGATATTTTCTTTAATCCCTTAAAATTTGGTGGTAAATCAGCACTTGTAACTTCAAAAAAAATTACCTCGATGGAGATCAGAGTCGTTTGGCTATACTATACAATGTTAAAACAACCAACTTAAAACCCCATAGTGTTCCTTTATTCGCCGCTTATTGGCAGAAACACTGGAATACTTTAAAAAGGCCTTAGGCCTCTAGAATTTATTAGTATTCTTATTGAAAATATTTTTTTTTAATTAATTTAAGCCACATTTGCAAGAAAAGCATTCAATCAACATTTTAAAGGTTACTTTATTTTTGTATGCTTATTTTAGCTAGAAGTAAGTGATTATATCATCCGCCTTTATGCCGTTGGTGTATAAGTATTTTCTTTTTAAATTATACGATAATTACCTTGACAACAGAGAAATCGTACCGACAGTGGAGATTAGTGCAAATCTTCATAACACACTAGAGAGATTTTTTTATGACATAAGAGTGACAAACGAGCACACAGGCGACCTATATAATAATAAGTAAAGAAAGAAAAGATAAGTGGATACTGTGGCTCATAGACGTTTCTATTTATCTTCAATTAAGAAACAAAATAGAGATACGTTGTCACCCTTGAAGACTTAGATGGAATGCCTCGTTTTCAGTAAAAATGGTCGCCGATTCTGTATACTCTCCAAACAAAACACAGCAGCATTCAGCTGCTATTTTATGCTGCTATTCTGTGAGGACGTGGTGCAACTCCGATCAAGCCAACCCGTTCGTGCTACGACCAAAATATAGTTGCATCGTGGCTCAACCACGTCTACATTTAACACTACAAAAGACTGCAGACATTCCGTAAAAATATGTTTCTTATAAACATATTTATACTTAGGAATACTTTTTCAATTGTATCCTCTGTTGCCTATATCTGCATGTCTGTATGCATGTCTGTACACCGTACTATAGCAATGCACTCAGAGCTGTTTATTTACAGAATACGAGAGTCATATATTACTGTGTTAAAATTTAATAAGGCTGAATGTTTTTCCGTTGCGACGGGGGAATTATTGCTACATCACACCCCAGTAGGATTACACCAGTATATATTTTATTCATAGCCGTAGGTATCTTGATAGGCAATTGAAAAAAGGTCAAGAGATTGGAAGAAAAAGTAATGAAAGGGAAATCTTAATACGGAAGTAGCACAACAGAATAACAACTATCCAAAATAAGTTAAAAATTCTTTTTCTTAATGTATAATAAAAATTTATTAGTGTTCGCCTATTGGTCGAAATTTCAACGTAATTCA